TAATTGACTTCTTTGAGCCTCAGTCTCCTCATCGGCAACACTAGGGAAATAACACCCAGAGTTCTGATGATCACGTGAGATGATATATGTGAAAACACATTATTAACTAAAGTTCTGCACAAATTGCAAAAATTGTAGTAATTTAGCTTTACTGAAATTTAATATTTTTAATTCTAGGTAGTTTTGATACTAAGTATTTGCAAATGACATGTAGTGTTGGGGAATTGTATAAATGTTTTGATAATGTACAGTTAAGATTAAGATTTTGGGCGCCTGGGTGGCTCAGTTGGTTAAGCAACTGCCTTCGGCTCAGGTCATGATCCTGGAGTCCCAGGATCGAATCCCACATCAGGCTCCCTGCTCAGCTGGGAGTCTGCTTCTCCCTCTTACCCTCCTCCCTCTCATGCTCTCTGTCTCTCATTCTCTCTCTCGCAAATAAATAAAATCTTAAAAAAAAAAAATTTAAAAAAAAGATTAAGATTTTTATCTTAACCTTAAGAGGTTGGAAGTTTTGTTTTTATTGTGAGACAGAACAAATCTATATATCATGATGTTAAGAGTTATTACAGTTGACAGTTCACAACATAAGGCATTTGCTGAGATCTCTCATCTAACCTGGACTGCGTAAATGAATACAGGGACATGCTATGCATCTTAAAGAGGGGATTCTACTTTTATACAAATAAAACTTAGTTTAGTTCTGCCACTAAAGTTTAAAAATGTTTTATGTAAAAAATAAATAGAAATTCCATTGTACCACTGTGGACAGAAGTGAATAGAAGAGGGAATTCACTTAATTGTAGTTGTAGGTAATGTGGAAGAGGAAAGTAAAGATGAAGGGAAAGAAATACCATTTATATAATTCAATTAACCATAATCAAGAACTTGAAGTACCTCACTGATATGTCCAACACATATAGTATCCTGAAAAATTGTTTGTAAATCAAATCCTATTTACTTTAAAGATTTATTTATTTGAGGGGCGTCTGGGTGGCTCAGTTGGTAAGCATCTGCCTTCAGCTCAGGTCATGATCCCGGGATCCTGGGATCGAGCCCCTAGTTGGGCTCTTTGCTCAGCAGGGAGCCTGCTTCTGACTCTCCCACTCCCCCTACCTGTGTTCTCTCGCTGTCTCTCTCTGCCAAATGAATAAATAAAAATCTTAAAAAAAAAAAAAGATTTATTTATTTGAGAGAGAGAGTATGTGTGAGTTGGGGAGGGGCAGAGGGAGAAGAGAATCCCACTGTGTGCGGGGCTCATTGCGGGGGCTCAATCTCAGGACCCTGAGATCATGACCTGGGCAGAAATTAAGAGTCGGACACTCAACTGACTGAGCCAACCAGCGGCCCCAATCAAATCCTATTTTAAATGCCATTGAAGAAATAACTGCAAACTCTTGAAGTCCCTAATTTTATCTTTTAAAATATGCATTTTTCATAAATCAAGTTTCTCAAGGTGCACTTCTAGTATTAGAGTTTGAATAAGAAGTATCTTTCAAAATAGCTTTTTTTTTTCTTTTTAAGATTTTTATTCTTAAGTAATCTCTACACCCAACATGGGGCTTGAACTCAAAACCCTGAGCTCAAGAGTCACATGCTCTACCAACTGAGCCAGCCAGGCACCCCCAGAATAGCTTTAAAAAAAAAACCCTGAAAATGTTCTTATTTGGTTATAGTATTTTAGGTATTTTAGCATAAAGATGGGATAACTCCTCCTCCCCAAATATTTGTTGTTTGGACTGTCAGTGTTTACAAACTGCTAGAAATAATGATCTACTATCATTTAGTCGAGCAATTTGGCATGGATATTGTGATGTGTTGGTAAGAGAAATACCATCTGAAATTCCAACTGAAATATATTGTGAATCATTAAAAAAAAAGACTTCTTCTCTTGAAAAGGTGAGTTATTTTGAAACACTCCGTTTAGAAACAATACTAAATAGGTCCCAATTATATGAAACAGAAGGACAGACATATTTAAGATTCCATCCTAAAATGTTTATCTTTTCCACTGAGGTAAATGCCCACTAAACCAATTGAGAGGAGTATTATTTCATTCTAGCAGAGGAAATAACCTCACCTTCATTTAGAAATTTCCAGATCCCAGGAAGAGCAGAGAAATTAGCTAGATCGCCAGGTTTGCTCTGCCTGTAATGTGGTTATCTAAACGTTAAAATACTGTTCTATCATTAAAATTTAGAGAGAGTTAAGCAATGAGGGGAAAGTAAGAAAAGAAAAAAATTTAGAAATTTGAAATACTCCATTTATGGAGCTACTTACGCTGAATTTTAATAAGATAATTTACTTATCTCTGATACTGAAAAAAAAAACTTCAAAAACCAGAATGTTTCAAGTGGACCAGAACAGCTTTCTACAGTTTAGGGATAATCTTTCTGCTGTAACATTTCTTTTCCCATATTTGATTTTATAAATTTCTCTCTCTGACATGCTTCTCAAATAAGCACTTTATAAACTCAACTTCCCAGTGAAGAGCCTTTTGTGTAACTCACCTTGTTTTAAATGATGTGTGAGCTCCATGATGACTTTAACGTATATAAGGCTTCCCACTGAGCATAGGACTATTTTGCTTTTATTACATTACTTAATTACTTATGGGATGACAGGTTGTAACATAGTCTCTCTGAGGAACCTACTGCTTTTCCCCACTACCCCCTGACCAAAAAAAAAAAAAAAAAAAAAAGGAATGAAGAGAAGGATAGTGAAAAATGTCCTCTGATTACTGCTGTGTTTAATGACACCATTCTGAACAATTCTGGTATCTTAAGCACCAGTTGTTGATTTATGAGTAGGGGAGTCGGGATGTGCTAAGAAGGGAACCAGGCTTGGATTGTACGATTCTGTAGCTAAGCACTAAGATATGGGTAAGAACACCACAGTTAAGCCATTGCCTTCCATAGTTTTAAGCTTTGCTCTGACGGTGAACCCCCAAATCAATTATACAATAGGTAGAACATTTCGGGTCACTCCTTCCTACTTATCAGAGAGAATACGATTGTAATTCTAGGAGAGTAATCTCCCTTTTCAGGCGTGGAGGTGGGGTGGATGGGTTAAATGGAAATTCATATTTAAGCTTAAATTTTGAGATTGGTATTACAAGTTAACAAGCTTAGTAAAGAGGATGGTGAGGGAGTGACTCATCTCACCAAATAACTTTTTTTTTTTTTGCCTTATTGTGAGATTTCATTATTTGATTTGATTTTCGCTAGTTGATTTTGGAGCTATTCTGTTGACTTTGTGCTTGTCAGGGTCTTCATCTCCAGATGGGGCAGCCAGGGCAATGAATTTAGGTTATAAGTCATATGCGTTCTAAACAACGAATGGAATAAATTTTAAATAGGTTGTAAGTTTTCTGGAAGGGAGATGAATTCTTTGGCTTCATTGCTTATCAATATAGGAAACAACCTTAATCAGTTGAATTGCCCTCCATGCCTTTATCTTGTGTCTTGCCTATTTCTTGGGTATTTCTTACTAATAATATCACAGCAAAAAAAAATTAACTTCAGTACTCAAATGACCTTACAATTCAATTCCATTTTTATTCTTTACTTTTATGTAAATACTGCATTAGATGTAAAAGTTCTTTAAAAGATTATTTTAAAGTCCACCTACCTACTTCTAAGTTTTCCTTTAAAAAAAAATCCATAATAGTAAATAGGGATCAAGTAAGTGCAAACCGTGCAGAACAGAGATTTTGTTATTTTTTTTTTAAGTCCAGTGAAGTCTGAAAACTTTTCAAAACACCTATATAATTCCCTCAGCACCTGGCTTGGCAAAACTCTATTCTGTTTGAAAAGTGCTTTTTAAAAAATGATGTCTTTGGAACATGCGTAAGTGTGTGTGGGATGGAAAGAATCCATATCTGAATATCTTTATAAAGTAGTTCTTAAAATTTGCAAAGCCATTTACCACTGGATCACGCTGCCGCTTCTACATCCCCTCTCCTTTCAGCGCACTAGAAAGCAAAGAGAATGGAAATAAGGTAGCATGAAGGAATGAAAGAGCGAAGATAATGAAGGTAGGTCAGTGAGGGACATTTTTTAATCCCTCTTCTCTTTTCCTCTAATATTTTGGGAAACTTCTCAGCAGCTCACATCTATAAGGAAAATATCCTGCTGGGAGAAGCAAAGAATCAGAAATAGAAGAATGTAAGGGGAGTACAAGAAGATGGCTGGGGCAGAGATTGTTGGGGAAAGAAGCCGAGAGGAAGATCTGTAATTGGATAAAAACCAAGCTTCTGCTATATGGGTCTTCTTTCTATAAGGTGGTTGGAATTAAATGCTATATATAGAGGACCGAAATGATGTGGGGCAAGATGATTGAGTTCTTTTATCATCGACTAGGCTTTATTCCCTTCAAGATTTTGGTGAGGAAATCTTACACTACAAGGTAAATTTACTTCTTTAGTTATGCATCTGAAAGTCACAAGCCACTCAAGATCAAATTTACTTGATCTGTATTCAAGGCTTTATGTGGAATGCAAGGTTGTTCATTTAACTGACCCTTTTCCAGTTAGCCTCAATCTTGAATATTAGCTGGAGGGCTCACAATCCTGGTGGTCAACCAGGAAGTGTTAGGGGAATTCCATTTAAGGCCAACCCATAGTCTCCAATTACTTCTAGATTGAGGGTGACCTTGGTTAAGGTCAGGGTGCCAGACTCTATACCCTATAAGCAAGAACTGGATTTATCCTCTCTTCACAAAGCAAGGTAACCTGAGCGGTCAAACCCGGTAATTTGAAACAGGGCTTAAACCAGATAGTCAACTGAACACCGAAGACACATTTGTCAGTATCCGTCTTCAAAGCAGTTTACGGCCAAGCCACAGTCACTAATGAAATAGGCCAGATTTGCCTGTGGAACATTATCCTGAATGTTTAACTGGCAGAGACAGGAAGATGGCAATGAAGTGCAGCAAATGCTAAACACCAGCCCATAAAGGAAGGTGCGCACTAAAGCGGGGTCATTGAAGAAGGCGAAGTTGGCAGTGATACCCTTATAATAACATACATACGCATTTGAGTAGGTGGAATTGTTAATGTAAGAAAAATTAGAGGAAATTCATATAGTTTGTAATGGGCCCAAAGTATTGGACTAGAGACAAGGATACACTGAAACAACAGTATACACAGACACACATGCTCACGTGAATACATTATTTTTCCATTTAGTTTCTACCTCTCCCTCTGCTGACTCCACAACAGCACACGGGTTACAGGGTTCTAGTAGATTCCAGCTACAGAATTCTATGCTACTCAGAAAATATATGGCTAGCAAAACGGCATCCCTGTTTTCTCCTACGTGGTTTATGCACTCATGAACAGTGAAACCTTTAGAAGCAATGGATGTCAGATACCAATGATCATAACAAGAAATGACACAGGAGACTTGTACAAACTTGCTTCTCAGCCTAATCCTAACTGATTAGATGGTGGCTTCCATCACCTCCATACACACCCTCACGCGTCCAAAATAGTCCAGTTTAGCTGTGTCATAGAGCTAACGTGGTGATATGTCCAGGAGATTTCCCAGAAACAAGTAGTTGGAGGCCATAAGGGTCTGGGCACCATAGTCTTTTGGGACTGTCTCTCCATGAAGAAGGCCCTTCCATTGTCAGGCGTAGCTGGAAATTTGTTCATTCTGAGGGGAGAAGGCGAGGCATGACTTGTCAGAACCAGAGGAAGAGGTTGTTGGGAAGCCATTTTCCCCTCACTGAAGCTTGTTATATGGCATTCAAGTGGATGTCCCCATAGGGAATTTCTGTCGCTGTTTCTGGAGTGATACCTTTAATAATACGCTGTTGGGAAGAAAATACAACGTTACAAACACTCATAACAGTACTGCAAAAATATTTCAACATTAATATTAAAACATTTAAATAGCATTTTAATGGCATTTACTAGTAAGTGGGAACAGTCTCACTGACTTTCCTTAAGAAAATAATTCCCGAGGAGCAGGGAGGGGTTCTTTACCCCGTCGGGCAGCTGAAGCTCGGCTCTCGGGTTACCCCTGCAGCGACGCCCCCTGGTCCCACCGATACCACTGCTGCTCCCGCCCCTTCGCTCCTCGGCCGCGCAATGGGCACCCGCGACGACGAGTATGACTATCTCTTCAAAGTTGTCCTTATTGGAGATTCTGGTGTTGGAAAGAGTAATCTCTTATCTCGATTTACTCGAAATGAGTTTAATCTCGAAAGTAAGAGCACCATTGGAGTAGAGTTTGCAACCAGAAGCATCCAGGTTGATGGGAAAACAATAAAGGCACAGATATGGGACACGGCAGGGCAGGAGCGATACCGAGCTATAACATCAGCATACTATCGTGGAGCTGTAGGTGCCTTATTGGTGTATGACATTGCTAAACATCTCACATATGAAAATGTAGAACGATGGCTGAAAGAACTGAGAGATCACGCTGATAGTAACATTGTTATCATGCTTGTGGGCAATAAGAGTGATTTGCGTCATCTCAGGGCAGTTCCTACAGATGAAGCAAGAGCTTTTGCAGAACAGAATGGTTTGTCATTCATTGAGACTTCCGCTCTAGACTCTACAAATGTAGAAGCTGCTTTTCAGACAATTCTGACAGAGATATACTGCACTGTTTCCCAGAAGCAAATGTCAGACAGACGTGAAAATGACATGTCTCCAAGCAACAATGTGGTTCCTATTCATGTTCCACCAACCACTGAAAACAAGCCAAAGGTGCAGTGCTGTCAGAACATTTAAGGCGTTTCTCTTCTCCCCTAGAAGGCTGTGTATAGTCCATTTCCCAGGTCTGAGATTTAAATATATTTGCAATTCTTGTGGTCACTTTGTGTTTTATTACTTCCTCATACTTACGAATTTTTCCATGTCTTAAGTCTTTTGATTTTAGCTTTATAAAATCATCCACTTGCCCCGAATGACTGCAACTTTTTTTCATACTATGGCTTCACTAGCCTTAGTTTAATAAACTGAATGTTTGGATTCCTCAGTTACTGTTTACTTTTCATCATGGAAGCCTGTCACTGTAGAACATACTAGAACTTGATCACTTGAAGCTCAGACCTATTGGTCTTGATCAAATCAAACTAAGAAGACTTTAGAAGAAATAAGCTATCATTTTGCCACAGAGCAGCTTATAATGAGCAGCTTACAATTCATACACTCTTCTCTCAATGCAGTATATATTTCCACAAATCTAAGAATTGCCCTATAAACATAGCAGGATTTTGAGAGCTTGAAAATTTTCCATTATTCTGGAAGTCAGTTTCTAAAATGCCTTAATAAGGTTAAGTAGTTTAGTAAATTTTGTCTTTTAATTTTTGTAAGCATCAGAGTTGATTAGAGAGGGGGACACTTTTTTCTGAATAAGAATTATCTTAATAAACAAAAGACTGTTTATGGTTTCAGTAGCAGTGTGGTTATGGAGCCATATGTTAAACAATGCTGCCTGGCAGGCTGGGAACTTGAGAGACCGGTGGAATTCCATCTGAGATGCCTCTGTTGCAATGATCAGGCAGCCCAGATCACTGAACTCATCTAATTTCCCCAGCAGTAGATTATGTGGCATTTTATTGCTCAGGTTTAATGCTGTATCAAATTGTGAAGTGTTAATTTTGTCTTAAAACCTTCCAGTAAATGAAATGCAACCTAGTTTTATCACCGTATCTATCAGCAGGCATGGATAATTATTTTAACTATGCTGATTTTTGAGTTTTGCAGTATATTATGGAATACAGTCCAGTTAAATATCTGGTTTCAGTAGGTCTAAGGAATATAGTGAGAGGTTAATTTCTGCTCAAGTGGTACCACTTAAAGGCATGTATTCTAGTACGTAGTACCTTGAGTTTAAATAGAATGCATTTAGGCATTATACAAACCTGAACTATTTTCTCCCCACTACGTTATTGAAATCAGTGGAGCAACTCGTTTCCCATTTAGAAATGTGCACACTAATACTGTTTTACTTTGTTGTGGATAATATTAAGCACTTACTCTGCAGTGTTCTGAAAGTTGTGTCAACTGAATTGATACCATTCAGGATGGTGGAATATCCCCCCAAGTACAAAAATACATGTGTTTGGGCTTGCATAGGTTACTATGTTTCATAGTTAATCTGTCTTTTGCGGTGCTCATGACGTGTGGGGCACATGACGTGTGGGGCACACGGAAGGCATTGCTGTGGTCAGTCTTTTGGTTTTCTTCTGTAGCCATTTATTATTTTAGAGTATTGGTTGGTTATGAAGATACTACTATCTATTTGTAAATCGCTACTTTGTATTTTATGCATGCTCTGTAACTTGATTTATTTTTATCTTTATTTTATTTTTTAGTTATTGATTTGGAATATAGTCACATTCTAATAAAGTTATAGGGGAAAAAAAAAAAAGAAAATAATTCCCGGGGAGTGCGGGGATGGGTTAGCCCGATGATGGGTATTAAGGAGGGCACGTATTGAATGGAGCACTGGGTGTTATACGCAAACAATGAATCATGGAACACTACATCAAAAACTAATGATGTAATGTATGGTGACTAACATAACATAATAAAATTTTTTAAAAATTAAAAAAAAAGAAAGGAATTCCCAATTTATCTGTTCTCAAATATAGATAAAAATGCCACGTTCAGGGAGCACCTGGCTGGCTCAGTTGGATGCTGTGACTCTTGAGCTCGGGGTCATGAGTCTGAACGCATGTTGGGTGTAGAGATCACTTAAATACATACATACATACATACATACATACATACATACAACTTAAAAAATGATATATTCAGGAACTATAAGCATCTGTCAACTAATTACAAAAATCACTGTAACACTAACGGGAGAAAATGATGATCTTTCAGTCGAACCTCCACTGGGGTATAACATGCTTTTGAGGACCTGGGAAAGCACATCTTTTTCTCTGGACCGAGGAGGCTTCCTGCGGCCATACAGGGCTCAGGGAGCAGAGTGAATGCTGGACCCTGTACACCCCCCACCCCGCCCCAGCCAGGCTCCTTGCACCCTGCACACACACCGGGTGTATGATGTACAGTGTCAGCAGCCGCTATAATATTAGGCTAGGATGTTACTGATCTCAGGAATCTACCTGTGAAGAAGTTAGTTCATACAGGGTTACAAATTATCACAAAACTTTTTAAAAAGAGTGACCATTTAAATCAATCACTCCTAAAGCAAACTCATGTTGACATAGGACTCATTACAAGGAAGACTTTAGGAATTTTTAGTTTGGAAACAGCTGAGATGCACAGAAGCTTTAAGACAGATCTGAAATACGCTTGGGCTTGGGTATGAGACATACAGCCCACCATGTAAAACGTAGCATCAGGGTGACATGAAGCAGCTCAGGGATGCGAAGGGAAAACAGAAGCACTTCAGAGGCTTAGGAAAATCTTTATTAAGTTGCTTAGCAAAATCTTTGATGGCTGAAAGTATGTACAGGAAGTGGGCAAAACTGGATTTGAAAGCGGTTTTTGATTTATGGATTGTAGGTGAAGCTCTGCTACTAGTCCTTTTATTTTGGATTGAAAAAGTATTTAGTCCCCTTCAGTCTTTTTTTTTTTTTTTTTTTTTTGAGATAGTTAATACAAAATGTTACATTAGTTTCAGTCCTTCAATCTTTTATTTCCTGATTCTGGGAGTTTGTTCTTCTTTATGGAGCAGGGCCTATGGCATTCAAACAGTTCCATCTGCATAGTTAATGAAATTAACAAAATTGTATATTTTGTGTTCCTAATGACCTTAACATTCAAGAACTGAAATTTCACGCCAGAAATCCCCTTAAAAAGGTAGACCTCATCAGCTACCTGGACATGTCAAGCCATAGAAAGCAAAATTTCACAAACCATCCCTCCCCATAGATGAATATGTAAACCATAACTGATTACACAGAGTTAAGTCTTGCTAATTGGGAACTGGACGCAGATCATTCTAACTAGTCTTGAGTGAAGCTATGTTGTGCAGGAAGAGAAGAGAGTACTAAGGTATATGGTGGAATGGTATAATGAACAACACTGCAAAGCAGAACTTTTGGCTTTTGTGTCCTAGTCCCCAGCCACCCATTCTGCTGCCCTTCTGGCTGCTGATCTCCCAAAATACTAGGCCCACTTTTGTTTTCCCTATTTTGGCAGCATTCCAGTTGCCAGACTACCACTGCTCTCAAAATTTGCCAGGCCTTGGCCTTTTGCAAGGTGATAATCTAAGAAACAGATCACTGTTGACATCTTCATGAATGCTTACTTTTGAGGGCCCATCTTCCCAGTATCTTTGTGCAGTTTACTAGGGCTTTCTACAACAATGACCTAATCTAGTTGATGACTCCAAACTGGAGACTTCCAGGCTGCAGGTGCATGTCCAAATTCCAGGTAAGCAAGTGGAGGATCATTCCACAAGCTCCAACCTTTTATATGGCTAGGCCCCAAAAGAGTTAAGAAATTTACCTTGGTCTTTTTTTTTTAACTATACCAAAATTTTACATGCAGCCTCCCTCCCTCATAGACAGAATGTTATGGACCAGCAAGTCTGGTATTCACAAAGAATTATAGTCCCTTGGAGTGCTTGGCAAAAAAACCTAGCATGCTTTATCCATCTCAGAGATTAAGCATGCAAATGGGCATATAAAGGCTTTTGAGAAGTCCCGTAGTAAAGAAACCTATTTAACTTGCGTTAATCCAGCTTTCTTCAAAGTTATTTGACCACATAACATTTTCCCCAGCAGTAACACCTAGTGATATTCCAAGAATATTTTATTCCTTAAAAAACAGTTTGAGAATTTTTAATCCAGTCCAATAAGCACATTTTATAAATGAAGAAACTAAGGCCCAGAGAAGAGGAGCAACTTGCCAGAGCTGACTAGCTCCTTTCTCTACCAGTCTTCCTTGACGGGCTGCATCATGCTTCCTGGAAACCCACTGTTCCCCATATGATGGCCTATGGCAAAGATGATGGTGCAATCACCCTTACTTACCTCTATTGCTAATGGATCTGAGCTGTAATAATTATTCACCCTTGGGTGACATTTCCTTGTGGCCAACGGAGAATTTGCAAGAGAGAGGACCAGGATTTGAGGTGTAGTCTGACCAAAGAATACTGATATTTTCTAACCTAACTAGACTTCCCACCCCTGACCTTGACCTCTGGATTTTAATCAATGGAACCAGTGGATCATCATGACTATGATAAAGGATGATTTGAAGGGATAAATCCAATGATTCTGGGTCTGAGTATATATTTCAAGCAACACCAGGGTCCCAGGCCCTTGGGGAGGAATGAGGTTGTGATAGGACTGGTTTCAGAGTAGGAAATAAGTAACTCCATGCAGAGTTCTCTCCACCTAGAATTCAGTTTTCCTGTTTGGAAAAATAAATGCACTCAGCTGTTCTCAGAAAGAGCTGATGTTTAATTGCCTTATGTACTCTTGCTTAATGTTTCTTATGAAATGTTTTAGGAAGATGAATGTGATGGTCTCCTATTTGAGTTTTGCATTGAAGAGCTCATAGACTCGCCCACCTCAGTTCTCAGGTCATTACAGATACGGTCCCTTCTAGCTTTCCCCAAATACCACTCTTCACCTTTGAGCTCATCCCCTACAAAAGCACACACCTACAGACTTCTTCAGGCTCTTCTGCCACAGTAACCTTCTTACTATGGCAAGAAAGACAACCAAGTAACAACTCAAACATTTTCAATTCTGGAAATAACGAAGTACCACATTATTGGGAATCCTGGTGACTTCAACTATGAACTCTGGTGGCACTGGATGAAAAATGGCAACTCACCGCTCCCAAACCTCTAGTGTCAATTTCTACATAAACTACTGACCCCCTGAGGAGAAAAGTGAAAAAAAAAACTGGACCAGGAATTAGAAAACCTGGATTCTGAGCCTCCCTGTACTTATATCCTTGGACAAGTCACTGAAATAAGGAAATTTTGGGCAAGATTATTCCCAGCCTCAATATCTTGTGTCTAATAATACCTGCCTATCCACCTCACAAGGGATTCTGATAGCAAAAGGAGATCATCTACATGAAGATGCTTTGAAAAATATACAATCTTATACAAATTACAAGGTTCTATTAATAAAATTTTATAGCATTATTCATTACTATATTAATATTACTATAATGGAAACTTTTTTTTTTTACTCCAATGGTTTGAGCTAAAACTATTATATTGCTGCAACATCCTTATTTAGTGATGATTTTCAAAATAGCACTCATCACACTGCTGTTAGAAAAATGACCATTGGGGCGCCTGGGTGGCTCAGTTGGTTAAGCAACTGCCTTCGGCTCAGGTCATGATCCTGGAGTCCCAGGATCGAGTCCCATATCGGACTCCTTGCTCAGCAGGGGGTCTGCTGCTCCCTCTGATCCTCCCCGCTCTCATGTGCTCTCTCTCTCTCATTCTCTCTCTCAAATAAATAAATAAAATCTTTAAAAAAAAAAAAAAGAAAGAAAAAGAAAAATGACCATGGACATTTTCCACCATAATCTCCACTTAAGTCAAAATATGTGTATTGCTTCAGGGGCACCTGAGTGGCTCAGTCGGTTAGGCGGCCAGCTCTTGGTTTCAGCTCAGGTCATAATCTCAGGGTCCTGGGATGGAGCCCCGCCTTGGGTTCTACACTCAGTGGGGAGTCTGCTTGAGGATTCTCCCTCTCCCTGTGCCCCTCCCACTGCTCGCAAATAAATATTTATTTACTTGTTCTCTCTCAATAAATAAATCTCCCTCGGGGCGCCTGGGTGGCTCAGATGGTTAAGTGTCTGCCTTCGGCTCGGGTCATGATCCTGGGGTCCTGGGATCGAGCCCCGCATCGGGCTCCCTGCTCCGCGGGAAGCCTGCTTCTCCCTCTCCCACTCCCCCCGCTTGTGTTCCCTCTCTCGCTGTGTCTCTCTCTGTCAAATAAATAAATAAAATCTTTAAAAAAATAATAATAATAAAAAAATAAATAAATGAATCTCCCTCTCTCAAATAAATAAATAAATCTCTAATAAAACATAATGTGTATTGCTGCAGACATGACAGCTCTGATGCCCATGCCCAGTGGCAAGCAGAAGGCAAAGCAGTCATCTGATAAGTTTAGAATGCTATCCACACCTCAAGCTGTGCGCTCCGGTGCATGCAAATAACCAGCTCTCTCTTTTGCCACTGCATCTAAGGCTCATGGGAGCGGCAGCCATTACAGGTCTGCACATTGGTGTAGGCATGTAAATACATAAGATGGAGAGCCAACTGGTGAACTTCACATGGGGGACTCATCTCCTCTGAATACAGCACAACCAGAAAATCCTTTTCTCCCAAAACAATTACTAGTCTGAACACACACACTAGCACCTACCTCTTTAAATGTCCCTGGAGTGATGATCAGCCGGTAAGCTATATATGTGGGGATGCAGATGAAAGACGAGGTTCCTATGCAGTAACCCAGGATGATACTCCACTGAGGATAGTTATACTGGAAAAGTCGGAGCTGGGGCGGGCTCATCAAAAAACTGCAAATGATGAACTGAAAGAGCAATACCAAGAAACATCACAAATCGTAACGACATCCTTGCAGATGGGGGCAGTTCTGATACCAGGAACACCAAATGCTAAAGCTGAGATCCTTTCAGGAAATCCCCCAAACGTGACAGATCCTCGATTGACTCTGACTCGGAGAATTCACTCATTTCTGTGCCCAAGCTGCAAGCGGAAAACAGCCAGGTATTTATATTGATTTTCCTCTCCATCCCCATCTCAACCCTTAGAGCGGGGATGCCAAGCCCTCAGAAAGTTGTTTCTGAGGAGGTAAAGCAACCCTTTCGGGGCAAAGGGGAAGAGACCGGCAACCATGAAGAGTGGTTTGGGCCCCGTCTCGCCAGACAGTGGAGGAATAAACTGGATGACTCCTCACGGCGTCTGTCAGTCCTAAAGCCTCATAGTTGTCTGGGCTCTGTTTTCATTTCCTCCTGCATTTCTCAGCTGTCAGGTAGAAGTTACCTGTGTCCAGGAGAGATTCTAAGGTTCTCGAGACTGGAGAGGCCTTGGGCTCCTGGGTATGTGTTTCCTCTTTTCCCTTTTCTTGAGCTCTCTGCCTTCTGCATTGAGCGCCTTAGCCTGGGTTCTGCCACGATGCGTCTCAACCACAAGTGACTGCCTGCCCCAGGCCCTCGTCATGAACAGAATCATGGAAGGAAAAAGCAATTTCGTGTACTTTTTACTTGAAAATTCGAGTGAAAATGTCTCCCAAGAAAAATGCCATGGTGTTGCTCCCAACGCTCAGTTTATAGGTTTTCTTATTTTGCTTTGGTTTCCTGAGAGAGCGAGCATAAATACCAGTTTTTGCCTGGTAACCATGGGGCCGAAATCGTTACTGCTCTTGATTTAATTTTATTTTATTACTTCATAGTCATAAAGAAAGCAGTAATGTAAACTATTTGTGTGATGATTAAGCATCTATTTATATCTTTTCTTCTTTGTCTGCAGGTAATAAAGTGGGAAGTTGTTAAACACACATCCATCCTCCCAACAGTGTTATCCTGAGTCTGGGAGGAGGCTTTTCCAAAGAGGCGCCCGGCCAATCGCAGACCCTCCTCCGGACTTACCCTCCGCACCTCTAGCCCCAGCTACTAAGGGAGCTGGTTTTGGAACACGGAAAGACGGAGGGACACGGTGAGGCGCCCTCCCCTCTGTAACTCATCTCATCTGGATGGCAGGTGTGTGAAATCCAGCCCAGTTCAGAGAGGCCTCAAGCTCCTGTGGGAGCCAGTGTGTGTTGCTCCAGACAAACCCTGTGCACGGACGGCCCTGCCTGCTCATATATAACATTTTCTTTTTTTGTAACTTGGCTTCGGTGAAAAAGAGTATTTTTAGTAGCTACTCATTGTTTACTGAAGGCAGCCTTAAAGAGCGCAGAGCCAGGGATCTGGTAAGTAAACCCGGAAGGGGAAGACAGATTTGCCTCCTCTTCGTTGGGTACTGGAGCACCTGCCTTTAGAGGAAGTGAGTAAAGCAAACCTCACACGAACTAGGAGTGACAGGCCTCGACGCGAATCCGTGCGTGAGTTTTGCTGGGCACGGGAACGCGCTGACCGCTCACCACACGTCCACCCAGGCTGCAAGACAACCAGAGGCTCACAGACATGAAAGGACTAAAAGCCTGGGGCCAGGACACGGCTGGCACATGTGAGCCGCTCACCTGGGGCACAACAGTTAAGTCAATTTTAGTAATCAAGGAGTAATATTTTAGTGCAGTATTTTAAAAAAGACAAGATCTGGCAGGGCCAGGTTAGAGTAAGGTGAGTGAGGTGAGACAGGCAAGTCCAGGGTCAGATCTTTCGTTTATTTAAAATGTTGAAATCTGCCGATTGGGGACTTTTTTGCCTTCATTTTGGTTTTTAAAAAATATTGTGGTAAAATAGTCTTTATCTTGATTCCTGAGTGTTTTGGCACACAGCCTCCCCCCCCCCTTAAATTTGACACCTGTGGTGAATGCCTTATTTGCCTCTCCCAAATCCCAGCCCTGAACATCAATTTCCTCCCTGGGTGGGGAATACTAAAGTTGATGAGCAAACAGATATAGCTTCTTCCCTCAACGAACTAATGCAGTGTCTCCTCTTCCTTTGAAAACCAACTGAAAGGATTTAAGTAGCTTATCAAGAAGCACTGGTAATAATATAAATTACTAATCCATTTATGTGAGAACTTCTGTGTCTAGTGATGGCAGGTTCGGTGGTTCATGCCAACCCCCTCACTGAAAACAATTAAAACTCCTGGATTTAAAAAAAGACATGTTTTTAAAACAGGTGAACATAGGGGAAGGGGAAAAAGAGAGAGAAAGGAAAGCAAACCATAAGAGACCCTTAACGACAGAGAACAAACTGAGGGTGGATGGAGGGAAGGGGATGGGGGGCGAGCGAGGTGGGTGATGGGGATTGAGGAGGGCACTTGCTGTGATGAGCACCGGGTGTTATATGTAAGTGACAAATTCCTAAGTTCTACTCTACTAAATATTATACTGTTAATGAACTAGAATTTAAATAAAAATTTGAAAGAAAAATATATATGTGTTTTTAATCTACCTAAAAGCACCAGTGAGCTGATAAGATAATAGGAACTACCAGGCCAAGTCTAGGAGAACACTAGAGCCCAGAGCACACCCCAGAGCCACTGGGTGCTGAGAATTATCTGCCACCTGGAGCAATGGTTGGTTTTGGTTTTGGAAACCTCCAGGGTCCAGGGGAATGGAAGTCAAGCAGGGATTCTGGGGTACAGAGAGACTCATGCAACATCGCAGAGACAAGAAGGAACGTCCTGCTCATCTTATATGTTAGTGTCCAGACGTATGGGTACAAAAAGTACCAAACAAAGGGCTGCCCAGAGAAAGTCAAAACAGAATTCCTTGTTGTTGTTTTAAACAAGACGGGGAAGGAACAGCTATCTCTATGTCAAAGCCAAAGATGTCCCTAAGACAAAATGTTTGGTCCAGACACTCCTAACAAGCTGGACCCGGATGGAGGGACCAGTCCAATAAGCCCTCTGGATCTAAAAGATAAAAAACTCCCTCCAAGATAAAGTTACAGTTAAATCAAAGAACTGGAGAGTGATCCCTGCCCACAGGCACAGAGTCACTTTACCCCGGGCTACGTCAGAGCACACGTGGGATGCAAGCAGGGAGCTTCGCCATCTTGGGCCAAGTGTCTCTCCTTCAGAGGGACACCGGGAGGTAAGCAGGGACACTTGCTACCCTTCAGGCTTCAATTTCCTTAACTGTAAAATGTGGTATCAGGACTATGCTCCTTCGTAGGACTGTTGTAAGGATTCATAGAGCAACAGGTGTAAGTTTGGCACAAAGTCTGGCCTGGTATGTCATGTTCAATAAATGTTATTTATCATTATCATTGAGCAGGGGAGTGATGGACACAGGCAGCGGGGACCCAAGCCCAGACTAACATTCCATGGCTCTGGGAGTCAGAAGAGGGGAAGCATGGGGAGCACAGTGACTGGGAGGGGACACCGGAGGGGCTTCTGAAGGGCTGGTCATATTTTTGTTTCTTAGCATGGTTTCTGCTGAGAAAGCATGCTTGATTTATAAAATTGCAATGAGATGTACACTTGAGATTTACACACTTTCCTGTATCTATGTTACACTTCAATGCAATTTACTCTATATAAGTGTTTGGGTGAATCTTCCTTTGCGGCCAGAAGAAGAGGGAAATGACCACTTACCAGGAGAAAGAGAGGGCTGATGGCTACCCAGCAGATCCTCCAAAACCACCCAGGGTCGAAGCCGAGCATTTCCTTCACGTCACTGCAGAACTGAGTGATGCCTAAAATCACCCACAAGAGAAAGAGATCGACTGAGGGAGGACACAGACTGTCTTATCCCCTGATTCTCAGAGACAGTCGCAGCTCTGGAGTTTGTCCACAGCAGGGGCTCAAGGGCACCAATCTGGTCAGAAAGTGGGACAGCGGACATGTCACAAAACTACATTTGATAGCAAGCAGAGTCGGGGGGACAGGTGGACATTTGGGGAGGAACCCAAAGCCCCCTCTTGGTGCCCACACTGCACTGATTTCTGAGAACTCAGCACACGTTTGATTTTATTGTTACTGTAAAAAAGAAAGTTGAATTTTATCTAGGAAGTGTGAACCCACTTGACAGAGACTGACTTGGACCGTACATTGGAAATGTTCAAGAGAAAATTTTAACCACAGGTTGCCCATTCACATGCCAGATCAAGATCAAGGTTCTTCTATAAAAAGTATGAGAACGTGAGAACTGAGAACTCCGACTGGTGAGAAACTGGGAAGGGGAAGGCGGGTTGCCCTGCAGTCGCTTCCCCAAGAGCCCAGCAACAGCGAGGTCCACAACGATGCACCTACTCTGAACTCTGTCATCTGAATCACTAAGGAGGTGGGGAGAAATTCTTTTTAAAAAACTGGGCCCATGTGCAACTCAAAATATGGGGCCTCCCCTTCTTCATGTTATGTGTAATGACAAACATGCTGAAGCTGTTTTATTACCATAGAACTAGGGAAATCAATACATTTTCAGAATGAAATAATCACTTCTTGATTTTAAGGATGAAGAGAGGTATCTCTGAATCTAGTTTTCTTTCATTTTTTTTTTTAAGATTTTATTTATTTATTTATTTTAAGTAATCTCTACATCCAGTGTGGGACTCGAACTTACAACCCTGAGATCAAGAGTCACATGCTCTATGGACTTGAGCCAACCAGGAGCCCCTGAACATGGTTTTCTTCATTTCAATTGCCTGGGTCAACCCCATCTGCACCCACGGATTCTTGGGACCCCTGCCAATGGACCCACGTTAGCTTACTCTCTGTGCTCCTGCAAGTTTCACCCCTATCAGATTCCATCCCAGCATCACAGGGGGTGAATTGGGGATTTTACCAAGGCAAATAATCCAAACAGGAACATTCTTGCCTCTTCCCTGGAAGATAATCTCCTAGACTCTGTCTCGGGGCTTTGTGGGGAGCTCTGTAAAATAGTATATTGTACCCTCTACAAATGCATTCACCATCCACTAGTTCTCTGTTGTCTGTGCTATTCTTAGAGCCCATCAGCATCTTCAGCATCCACTAGGATGAGCTCTATGGAACTGCTTCAGCCTGTGTCCGCTGGGTGAACTAAAGTTTAAACTCAGAAGGAAACAGCATCCTCCCACGAGTCAGGGGAATCTGTGGTACAGAGTGTGGAGGAAATGGTGACCTGTTTCCGAAGAAGGCACTCTGCTGGGGTGGCTTCAGAGACCCCCAGGGAGGTGACGTCTTGTCCCCTGCCCCGGCTTTCTTTGATGAAATCAGCCCTTCTCTATTCCGGTGTCTACAGGCTGGTGTGGAAAGGCTCGCGACTGGTGAGCATCTTACCGTAAAACCAATACACAGCAACAGCCTCTATAAAGGCGACGGTGAGCACGGCGGGCCCCGTGGCATACTCCTCCAGCAGCTTCACCACGTAGGCCCCTCCCTGGAAATGAGATGGCAAACCGGTTAAGGGCCCTCGATGCACGGCCTCCTCTTTACGGTGAAGGCCAAAAGCAGCTTCTGAACGTTGGATCATTCCTGCCTTGGACCTAATATAAATATCCCAGAGCCTGCCTCTTGGGCTGGCCCTCCCAGCAGGACCCTGATTTCATGCCATCGGGTATCTCTTCCCGTCCTAGGGAGCACTCTCTCCTTGCTTCCTCTCCCACTGAGCTTTAAGATACAAACTCAAAAGAGCCCCTGGGTCTGTTTTCACCTTTCTTCTAGTGATGCGGCACTTAACTGTGTACTCTACCCTAAAGACTGAATCTGGGCGAGTTCACCATACCACACACGCTGAGCACGTTGGTCCTGGTTTTGCCTTCTGTCTTAACTCGCCAATCCCTTGGGTCCTCCTCAGGGGCCCCCACCTCCACCCCCACTGAAGCTCCAGAGCCTCTGGGGTCGTGGCTTGAAGAGGCAGGTCTTCAAAATCTGCCTTGAGTCAGGAGGACACAAGCCTGGGATGCCTGGGATTCCGTTTTACCTTATTTGCCTCAGCTAACAACAACAACAAAAAAAATCATGGGTGAGGGTCTGACTTCTTCACCATTGCAAATTCTCTGGAGGAGACAAAGCGAGATTACAAACATGAGATGCCAGCCTCCAGATATTCTGCATATCAGGACATCAGGGCAACAATCCCATGAAAGCAGCCCTAAAGACTGGAAAAGCAGATCTCAGTTCTTCTGCAGACACCCTGCCAAGCCTGAAATCTAGTTGGGTCTACAGTAGGGCGCGAAGACCTCCAGCCACCAGGCACAGATTCTACACACAGACGCTGCCAGAAACAACTTTGTGTCTGATCAACCCCTTTTACTTTGGCCCCCAAGCCAGGGCCCCCACGGAGGATGGAAGGTCCTTGTAGGGCTCTGCTGCCCTAGGAGAGGCTACTCAAAGCTGGGGGTTGTGGTACTCACAAAAGTCAGGGTGGCCAGGGATCCAAAGAAGCAGGTAATGACCACACCAAGCACAAACCACTCCCGGCGCTTGGCCCAGATGTGCGGAAACTCATCTAGCACGGCTGTGATCACCCCTTCCAAGCCTGCAAACTGAGAGGGACACGCAAGCGGTCACAGGGGAGGCTCGGGACAAGTCTGTTACCTTCGAGGACGGCGAACAGGCCAGAGGGTGGCTGGTCATGACCGGATCCCCCCATACACCCCGGCCCTCACTGGCAATGTTATCACCCCATTTTACACGGTCACTTAGACCCCACCCCCAAGAACATTGGGGAAAAAAAATATAGTGCCTGGACAGGACTTCTTTATGTGAGGTCGCTCGGGGAGACTTCGGCTGTGCCAGAATGGCCAACTCAAAGCTGAGAGTCATCCCACACTACTAAGTTCGAGGTGCTGAGCCAAATGCAGGGCAGCAGGATACCAGGACACAAGAGGGACCTTTAGGTGCTGCCCTGTGGTCCAGGGACAGTGCACAGTAATAGCAGTTCACATATCTGAGCCCTGGCCTGTGTGGACACCTAGCCCTCATTAGCCCATTAATGACCCTCTCATGCCCTAGAGGGCCCCGAGCCCCAGTGATGAGGCCTAAGCCAGGGGCTGAGGGAGCACTGGGAGGGGGCAGCCAACACCACGTGGGCTGGCCAGGATGGGAGGGATACGTGCACCCTCCTCCCCCCCAACCCCTGTCTCCTCCAGAAAGCCAGGTTTCCCTCTCCATTCACTCACGGTGCTGTCCAGGCCCAGCGTGATTAACATCAGGAAGAAGATGATGGCAAAGAACGTGGATGCTGGCATGTTGGCTATGGCTTCTGCATACGTGATGAAGAGGAGGCTGGGGCCTGAGACAGAGCGGGACAGAGGGGGATGTGGTCACCAACACCTGCCCTGCGAAGATGTCTCGGGGGGAACCTCAGCCACACCAACAGTTACAACTCCGGTCACGAGACCTTACACATGAACTAGGCTTCCTCACACTCTACACCATCCCACCGTCCCGACATCACGCGAGGCAGGGAAGGAACGGTAGCCATCTTGAAAAGTGTGAACCCTCAATCGATGGGGCGGGGGGATGGAGACAAACCCAAGACCCTAAGACTAGCAAAGCTGCACACAGGAATAAGAGTTTCCACCATATCATAATTCAGAGCTTTTCTTCAGGGCCAGGACTGATAACTCTAGAGCATTTAGCTCTCTCTGATGGCGTTAGCTCCAGAATAGTAGGAAATGTGAACTGATTTCAGAAGAGTCATAGAGGCCTTGGAATAAAGACTTCCCACTATTTTAAAGTCCCTTTTGATAGTGTGAGGGACATGTCTTCCACCTCTCACGAGCGAGATAGGGGTGCCTGAGTTTGGGGTACGGGGATGCTCAGAGCTGTGCATCAGGCCAAAGACAGGCTTGTTGGCAAGAAAGCCCTGGGATTCCATCCACAAGCTTCCATGGCCACTTTTTCAATATCTGTCCCTCCTTTTCCATGAAAACCTCACAATACAGTAGAGGGATACGTCATCTACATTTTATTTTTCTGCAAGGGGAAATTCTAAGGATTAGTAATCATTTGCTTATTAGACTTGGACCCATCACCGGACCCAAACCCAGTGGTTTTTTAAAAGCCCTCATCCAAGTCACATTTTAGGGGGAGCTGCCCCATCCCTATCATGGCTGAGCACACAGAAGGCGGTAAGTTTCTCTAAAACCTTGGGCAATGTTTAAAGGAACATTCAGAAATAATTCAAAAGTTAGATATTTATAAGGACCCAAAGAGCAGCCAACCAATTCAGTGAGAGCAAGGGGACGTAAAGAGAACCCAAGTTCCCACCTGCATCTTTGGCCACCTCGGACACATCCTCGTTCCTCATCTCGGCCATATACCCGAGCACCGTGAAGATGACAAATCCGGAAACGAAGCTCGTCATGCAGTTCACCACGCTGGTCACCAGGGCATCTCTGGAGCAGAAAACACACAGAGACTGAGACATTTCCAAGGAGAGAGTCTCAAGAGCATCTGTCTCCAGCCAAGGCCCGCAGGGACCTGTCCTAGTGTCCCCTCCCGTTCTCCCAGGCCCGGCCTCTCACACTGGTTGGTAGGTGGGGACGAGCCGCAGGTCAGGACTGGTTATCGTGACCTCCTGTGGTGAACTGGAACCACACAGATCTCTTGATTTCAAACAAGAACTGCTCTGGGGGCACCTGGGTAGCTCAGTTGGTTAAGCAACTGCCTTGGGCTCAGGTCATGATCCTGGAGTCCCGGGATTGAGCCCCACATCGGGCTCCCAGCTCAGCGGGGAGTCTGCTTCTCCCTCTCCCTCTGCCTGACACTCCCCCTGCTTGTGCTCTCTCTCTCTCTCTCAAATAAATAAATAAAATCTTAAAAAAAAAAAAGAATTGCTCTGAAGCAAGGTCTGGATTGGAGGCGGGACCGTGAGGGGGCCTTGGCCTCACATTCATGAAGTCCTCAGATTTAGACTTTTGACATTATGTGCAAATGAGGTTACGAGCCTGTCACTGGGATATCCTGATACTTTTAAAAGAAGATCTTGTCATCCAACTTCAGGCTGGTGTCCCAGTGCAATGCCACTTTGCTTAGGGTACTTGTGGATTCCTTTGTAAGAGAAAGTGAATTCTGTAATCATCTTATTGATTAGAGTGCTGGACACTGCCATCCGTGAGAGGACATTCAAACAAAGTTAACTCTAAAGATGACAAGTGATAGTGAAATCGTAATTGGCACAACACTCCCCGTTTTGTCAAAATTTCTGAAATGAGATTTTGTGACAAAAATCATGGTGGCATTTTGCATTGGTCAAAATAGCTCAATCGTTATACTTTTGTAAATATGTACATAAATAAATGATCACATTACAATTTTTGTTAAACACGTTAATAAGTGAAATCTAAATATTTAATATATGTTGCAATTTTTAAGAATCTGCTGTGGAATTTCTTAATCTAAAAAAAATTTTTTTTGTGAGAAGCTCTCACAAAACGAAAGTGGCCTGAGGCCCCTCTCTCAATCCTCACTGGCCTGCGGGAGGCTATGGACTGGGTGGGTGCTCTGGCCATGGAGGAACTGGTCAGGGACCTGGGGGGTGCCCGGGCCCGGCCAAGTTTGAGGCCATTAGTTCGATCACCTTCCTCTGGCCAGCTGACGATGCTCACCCACTTTCAAGCTTTGCCTGGGGAGCCCCAGATACTCACTGGTAACAGTTGTTGTTGAACTTGTTGTAGCTAGCGAAAGCCAATAGGACCCCAAAGCCAGGACCAAGAGAGAAGAAGATCTGAGCGGCAGCATCTACCCATACCTGGAAGGCAGCAGAGGTAAGGGTGAGGGCCGAGCCCGGGGCCATACTCTCTGTGCAAAGTGAAAAACAAGCCCTCAAAGCTCCTCCCAGGGGCGGCCACATACAAAGTGCAAACAAACGTGATTTCTCTTCCTCACATTTTGGCATAAGCCAATCCACTGGCCTTGACTGTACTTTTCATGCTTGTACTCCTGATTTAAAACATTATTGCACACTTGCAATAATGAGCCTAAATTTCAGTTGTCCCTATGTGGGGGGCCGGGGGGCGCTAGCTTCAGTTAGTAAAATGACAGACAGGTGCCCATCGTTTTCCCCATTATCTTACCCCTGTCTCCAGGAGTTTCTGCCAGTTGGGTTTCAAATAAAAGAGAACACCCCTCCAGGCTCCGGGGAGGGTGGCCCCCCTTACCAGCAGGACCGAGAGGATGATATAAGGGAAGGTGGCTGTCACCCATACCACCTGTGAAGGAAGGGGGTAGAAACACAGATTGTCAGCATGTGGATGTTGGTGTCTTTTATGCTTTCTGTAACTACAGGAGGCAGAGTGATGTGGCAGAAACATCAGAGCCTTTAGGATCAGACGGGGATCTGAGTCCCAGCTTACCAGTACTACCCCTCCAAACCCACTTCCCACCTGCAATATGGGGAAACCCCAGCAAAAGACAAGACAGTAGCCAGTGTCTATAAAGCACTGATCATGGCCCATCATGGGTTTTCAATAAATTATTGCCATGGTCATTAACTGTGACACTACAGGTGGGTTAAAGGAATTTTTTTAAAAATCATATAATGGTTCCTGGGATTGGCCTATTTCTAGAATTCTTGAACAGATTTGGTGAAGAGAAATTGAGCATCACGAATCGTGTTTGGTGTTGAAGGACACAATGTCCCTGTGTCTATGGCTGTCCAGGCTACTGAGTTCTGAGTTTGAATCCTCTGGGGCCCCTTGGCAGGTCAGGATCCGCCGCCAGGGTCCTCCTCACCTTGCCAGACGTTTTGACACCCTTCCAGATACTGAAGTAGATAACAGTGAAGATCAGCATGATGCAGAGGGTGAGCTGCCAGCTGAGCCCCCCCAGGTCCTGAAGTCCCTTAGACCGATGGATCTGCAGAACGTGGCGCCTGGAGTGAGCGAGAAAGAAAGGCCCGTGAGATGCCCTGAGCGGTGAGCGGATCCGGCAGGTGCCAAGGGAAGAACCGGACAAGGCGCAGCAAGGACCAGAGCAAGGCACCAAGCCTCAGAAAGAGCGGGCCCTGCCCATCCTGGGGGACAGAGCGGCACATTCGGCCCACAGCCCCTGGGAAGAGCACTCAGCCCCCGAGGCCGACTCTCAGGCACCTCCTTTCCTGGCTGGGGCAGCTTTTGTCTGTGTGGGTAGTGGGTCCTTCCCACCCCAAAATCACGCTCTCTGGGGCTCCCGCTGCCCGCAATGCCGGCATTAAAGAGTACTCCGTACTCCAGGCATCTTCTTCCAAAGGGTAGGTCCCGCTTGTGAAGTGAACACATGAAACCAGAAACCCTTTGAATAGCTGCAAACCACGGCAGCAGGGGGAGGCTTTGATTCCCTGACAACCGGCGGGAGAGCGGGGGCCCAGGAGGAAGGGTGGTTTGGACGCGGAGTCGTTCTGGAGCGTGAAGGAAGGGATCGGCCTGGGCACCTGGGGGCAGCCTGGCCTGGCACATTATGAAGGGCGGGGGGGAGGGGGACAGCCCACAGGGCCAGATTAGGGAGCACTCGAGGTCGAGCCTCCCAGCTCCACATCTGCCTGGGGCCGGCCTTGTGGCTCCCTCACCTGCATTTACTCCTCTTGCGGGAAGAGCTTCGTTTCTCGCAAACCACCGAAGAGGCGGGGAGCCCCTGGCCCCGCCTCCCTCCACAGAAGCCACGCCCCGGGGCGTGGCCCGCCTCTACCAGACCACCCCTCACTTACATGCACTTACGTGTAAAATTCTTCTGCGGGGGACGTCGAGTGCAGCGTCCAGGTGACGTTGTTCTCGGAGAAGTAGTTGGTGCAGTTGCCAGTGTTCCAGGAGTTCGTGCAGCTGGTCCAGGGCAGCTGGTCGGTGAAGGAGGAGATGAGGTAGTAGAGCGCCCAGGCCATGATGGTGTTGTAGTAGGAGGCGATGTAGAAGCCGATGATGCAGATGGCGTAACCGATCCCTGGGAGAGAAGGGGGCCGGGGGGGCCACGTTTACAGGGCGGCCTGACAGTGACAGACTGACGGACCCGGGGGGCCTTGGAGGGTCCTGCAGCTCAGGGGAGGGGGCGTGCTGGGGGCTGCCGTTCCCCTCATTCTCCAAGACTCTGGGAGATGGCGGACAGGGGTGGTAAATTCCTTAGATGTATTTGCAAAATCACACGTTTGAGAAAACGTGTGTGTGCTGTTACTGCTTTGAACTCTTTATATTTCGGTTGCTTTTTTTTTTTTTTAAGATTTTTATTATTTTTTATATTATTTGAGAGAGTGAGAGAGAGCACGAGACCGGGGAGGGTCAGAGGGAAAAGCAGACTCCCCGCGGGTCGGTCGGTGCTGGATCCCAGGACCCCGGAATCATGACCTGAGCCGAAGGCAGTCGCTTAACCGACTGAGCCACCCAGGCGCCCTATTTTGGTTGCTTTAAAAAGTCCTTTTATTTGAATATAGCTGACAAACAATGTTACATTAGTCTCAGGTGTACCACAGGTGATTCAACAATCTGTTCTGCTCTGCTCACCACAGCGTAGTGCCATCTGTCCCCACACAACACAACGCTATTACAGCACCATTGACTATATTCCTGATGCTGTGCCTTTCATCCCTGTGACCGATTCATTCCATAACTGGAAGCCTGTACCTCCCAGTCCCCTTCACCCACTTTGCCCATCCCCCACCTCTTTCCCTCTGGCAACCATTAGTTTATCCTCTATATTTATAGGACTCTATTAGGTTTACTTTTATTTATTTTCTAAAATGCTTATTTAACTTTTATTATTATTATTTTTAAGCTTGTTTATTTTTTTTTTTAGTAATCTCTACACCCAACGTGGGGCTCGAACTCATGACTCTGAGATCAAGAGTCACATGCTCTAGCAGCCAGGTGCCCCAGGTTTACTTTTAATTGCTATTTATTCTGTTTACCTTTAACAATCTCATACCACTTGAGCAGTGAAAAACTTAATTACCGAGTCATCGCCCAGAGATACCTTAAGGCCCAGCTGATTCCAGAAGAAGGTCCCCAGTTCCCATACATGGACAGGAATCACCTCTCCCCTGCAACACCCATCACCCCCCCCCCCGCCCACTCAAGCCTTTCAGTTACCTTTGAAAATCGGGCAGATTTTCCTCCATATAGAAATGCATCCATTTCGGTGGTACTGGCCCAGCGCGAGCTCCATGTAGAACAGTGGGATCCCCCCAAAAATGGCCATGATCGTGTAGGGCAGGAGGAATGCCCCTGAGGCAGACGAAAGACAATTTCACCCCCTGCCCACATCTGCCCCAGGACAGCCCAACTGATCTGGACACCCAGGGTAGCACCAAGATTCAAGGGGCCGTCTCATGCTCAAGTCTCATGAAGCCACCCTGTGCTAAGCGACCTCACACTATGCTCCCCTGGGCTTAGCACTTTCCCAGAGCTCCACGGTCAAATGGAGGTTTCAGAGAGTAAATGAAGGCGGCAGAGAGTACGTGGAAAGAAAGCTGGGTTCAGGATCAACAGACCAGACCCTGGAATCGGTTGCACTTCTAACCAACCGGAGGACCCTGGGGGACACCGCCCCTCCCTGAACCTGTTTCCTCCCCTATGAAATGACAGAGTGGCAGAGGGCTGAGCTTCCCAAAGCCAGCCACACGAGGGAATCACTGGTGAGCTTAAGAACACACATCCGACAGGGAAGTTCCAGGTGTGGGTTTAAGACAAAAATGTGTAAGCTGCCCAGGTGATTCTGACGCAAGCAGAGTTTGAGACCCTGGGGACAGATCACCTGTGACAACCTGCAGTAATCTGCAGGTCCCTGCATTCCAATCTTTGTTCATCCCTATTATCCCTGGCTCCAGACTCTTGTTTCTGAAATGTGGCTCTATTTCCATAATTCCACTAAGCCAGAACGCTCCCTTCTGGGCCCCCTTTGCAAATGTGGCTGAGAAGGGTAGTTTGTCACAGAACAAGGAAGCGCGGGGCTGCGGCATCCCCAGAGATGCTGGTGTCCCCTGGCTCTCGTGGCTGAGGCACAGTTTGGAAACACCGAGGTGGGGATTGCTCACCTGCCGCCTGAGTCTCAGCCCAAAGGGTGGGTCAGCTGTGATTTTCCCCGCTAACTCTCCCTCCCATAAAGTGCTTTGAACCTAGAAACCAGAAGTTGGGGCAACTCAGAAAGGTCCCACCTCACTTACAATCGCTCTGGGTACATCTAGCTTGGGAATAAGAACCACGTTGTGTTCTCATGGTGGCATTTGTAATGGGTTTGCTTGGCTGGCTTAATGGTAGGGAATGAGTGTAGGACAAACGTCACCAGCGCCCCAGCCCCTTATAGAAAGCTCAGGCTAAAGATGAGCCCTCCCAAGCTGGAGATAACTTCCGCTCCTCCCAGGCAGAGAGGACTGGGCTTCCCAGCCCCCCCACCCCGGAACTGCCTTCGTAGGCATGTGGACCAAGGTCCTTAAAAAATCCAGGCAACTCTGTGTCAGGCCATGGAGGAAATGAGGACACTAATGAATTCTCCCCAAACGTCATTTTAGCTGCCCTCCCAAGTCAGCTGCCAGAGCTTCTGTCAAAAAAAAATATTGACTGATTTGACTTCCATTTCTCATCCTTTTACCATTTTGATAGCAAGTCCAGTGTCAACACAGAAGCCCCGTGCCTACTCATTCCTCTCCACTTCCCCTCTCTGTGGCTCCCATAGCCATGCCGGCAGTCAGATACTCTTTTTGATAATCCTACAGTTAACTGCTCTGAAGGTGTTGGGGGGTAAAAGGAGGAACCTGAAATAGTCTCTAGCCTCAAAAACCCAGCACTCTTGTAGGAGATAGAAGGCAGATCCAGTGTATGGTTTGGGGTTATTAAGGCCATGCTGTGGCTGGGTTCAACTCTGGATCATGCTCAGATTCCAGCTCAAGACTCTGGACCTGAGCAGACGCCCTTCTCTGACCACACGTGGGTCCAAAGGCCCCGGAGGGCCTGGGACCCTGGAGCCCCTTCCCAATTTTTCCTTACACAGATCTAACCTCTCTGGCCTCTGCCGAGCAGAACCTGCACAAGGCTGATGGTCATTTTCACATCTCGCTCTGAGGGTGGAGCTTGGGTAATTCAGGGGTGAGAAGGGGGCTCTCCCACACATGAAGCACGAGGATGCTGAACGTCTGGCGAGGTCAGGTTTGGGAGAGCTTTTATCCAACTTGAACCTCAGACATGCTGACTGAACATTTGGCTTACTGGGGCTCTGTCTTTTGGACCAGCTTGGAAGTCTAAGCAATCATGTTCCCGGACTCATCAGTCAGACAAGACAAAAGACATGATCTCCGCTCTGGCCTCCCAAAAGGATCTACAGACCACCCCTGGGTCAGAGCCTCTGCTTGTGGCCCATGATACTGACCCCCTCCATTCTGGTAACAGATGTAGGGAAAGCGCCAGACGTTGCCCAGGTCCACGGCATAGCCAATGACTGAGAGGAGGAAATCCATCTTCTTGCTCCAGGTCTCCCGTTCCCCTTGATGAGCCTCAGCCGCTAGGGCGGTGGTGGTGGCTGGAATGGAGTGTTGAGAGTCATCTCCGGCACCAGGGCTCGGCACCGCTGAGTACCCGTTGGAGACGTGGCCAGACTCCACCTTATCCTCAGGGACAGGGACACCCTTCTGCAGAACTCCGTTTTCCTGACAATCTTCTTTATCCTTACACGCTGATAGCTCCTTCTGGGAATTTAAGGGCGTGGTCTCCATCCTGCTGGCTAGGAGATGACGGTGACACCCATCTGCTGAGGACCCGAGCCGAATTCTCAGTGCTCAGATCTGGGGATCTCCTTGGAGCTTTATATCAATGGGATTGAGAACTCTGTTGGGAAGGCACACGGCAAAGGGAGAACAGAATTACGCATCCTACTTGTCTTTGGTATTAACTCAACAAACATCGTAAACGACATTAATGAATGGGATTACAAATGCATCTGTCAAGTGTGAAACATCCTGTTTGCTATATGGCAGTCAATAAAATCACCTCCAGTTTTCAACCTAGACGAGCTATCAAATCACAATCAAGTCATTTGAAAAGGTAAAACAAAAAACAAAAAACCCAAAACAACAAAACAAATAAGAACAGACAGCAAATCACCCAGGTCTTGCATCGGCTCTGTTTAAGAACAAAAGACTGACTTCAGTTTGAGGGACTAGAATTGCATCCTGGAGTTTACCAGTCACTCAGAAGAAGGTAAGAAGATGACTTTCTTCACCAAAACTGTGCAGAGCACTTACCTTGTTCTGGATGCTAGGCTGGGAAAAGAAACACAAAGAAAGAAGCAGTTGCTGCCTGCAAATAAATTAGGACAGTCCTAAACCGTCTAAGCAGAGCAGGCCGTGTATTTTACGTAAATTGCAAGTATGACTTTAAAAGGACAAGAACAAAGGCACCCCTAGATCCTTAGCTGTGGACTTTTCCCCTCTTCCTTAGAGGGTCTAGCTGCTCCTGACTGTGTCCAGGGCGTTCCCCAGATGCGTTCGCCTCGTGCCTCTGCGAGTCTGCCCGGGCTTTGAATGGCCCTGCTGCTCGCTGTGTATTCTGCCTACCTCTCCCAGCCACTCCTGAGGAGGATCCACCTGTTAGCCAGCAACAGTGGGCAGGCGGGGCGAGCTGGAAGAGCGAGTGAGAAGAGCGTGCGGGTTACAGATGCCAGTATGGCTGGTGTCTCTGTCCCCGAGCAGCCTGGTGGGGAGGCCTGGCCGGGGCCTCGGCACCTCCATAGCCCTGCTGGGGCCGAGCGAGGTGCGGGGAAGTCAGCGCCGCAATCTGGACCGAGGCCTCACACGTCAAACATGGGGCAGAAATCCGAGCCCTCTTGGACTGTAAACCTATGGCATGTTATAAAGTAGTAAGGAGCCAAGACCTTCCACCTAACTTCATTTTACTGGGGCCTGAACTTTTCAAGCTCTTGAAATAGGCTGGGAGTTGAAACAGGTCTCTGCTTAGCTCAGGTCACATTCCACCTTTCGAGATGTCTAGGGATGACTGTTAGCACTAGTCACAGCTGCAAAGATCTGATATCACCCCTTCAAATCCAACAGTTGGAGGATGGCTAGAAATGGAAGCTAATAAAAAACGGCAGTGTCTGTCTCCTACCTCTTTGGGGCTTTCAGTGACTAGAACTTAACTATCCACAGGTGGAAATGTGAAGATAAAAATGTAGCGGAAAATTAGAACACAAAGTAGTAGATTCACACCGGTGACTGTGTACAAAAATATTGGCAAGGATGAGCAATGAATACAAGGGGATGCAAGTAATTAGAGCTTTGTGTTCATTGGGTTCTTTTTTTCTGTAAAGTAGAAAATAAAAATTTTAAAGGGATTGATTGTTGCTGAAAATATTCCAGCAACAAGAGAGATACCAGCTCTATGGATCTAGGGTGTGTATGTGTATAAATAAGGAGATGGGGTGGGTGTCCTGGGTTCTACCCTATCCAGCTGCTTGGCCCCCACCTCCGGACCCTACCCCGGGCTCAAGGATGCAAACACCACTCACAGAAGAACATGAATTTCTAATAAAGCGTGATCTAGATAAAACCCCATTGTGCTCATCTTTATGCTGCTCTCCAGCCTCCCCTGGCCCCCTCCGTGGACTCTTCAAATTAACCACACATTCTCTCATCCACCATAAGTAACCATGTGCCAGGCTGAGGGATTTTTTTTAAAGTTCATTATTTTTTTGAGAGATGATGATGAGGTGTCAGTGTATTTAAATACACAGCTAAATTAAACCTGCACCTTGTGGTCTCTGGTTGTGTTGTTTGAAGAAGGCCTCTGCACTTCCCTTCAGCCTCTATCAACAGCATGTTCTCCGCATTGAACACTGAAGAACTTGAAGGCCAGATGACAGAGATAAAGAGCTTTACCACGTGCAGCCCGATGGCATCAATGGGCTGAGCCAGCCTGTGACCAAGGCTCCCCCTCCCCCACCTTTCTTTCTCCACCTTCAAAATTTTACCCAAAGTTTTCTGTAGGAACTTCTCCTTATCTGGAATACCGCATTGTTGCTCTCATTTAAACTGCAGCTCAGGGGCGCCCGGCCGGATCTGTGGGTGGAGCGTGCGACTCTTGATCTCAGGGTCGTGAGCTCGAGTCCCAGGTGGGATGTAGAGAAGACTTAAAAAACAAAACAAAAAACTGCAGCTCAAAGAGCAGCTGTACCATCCAATCTTTCTGTGGCACGTCCCCCATGGTCTATGGGAGGGACACGTCACCCATCTCTGAAGAATATCGTGGTGGGGGGAGCAAACACTTAGCCATACTTGTGACTCTGTCACCTTCCTCATGCCTGGGTCAAGTGATTTGTTCTAGGTTTCCTGTACTTTCTCCCTTGGGGCATCCTGCAGGGAAGATGCAAAATGTGTGTGTGTTGGTGAACTTCTTTGGGCAATATATGTTCTTCAGTATCTTCAGGGGTTCGTCCCCTAAGGCAACTGATCTTGATTTCTTGGCACCTGTCCTGAGCAGCTCCTAGAAGAATAATGCATGCTTCTCTGTTTTTGTTCTGAGTATTACAAAGACCTTGTTTCCTGAAATATCTCCCAGCACTTTTTTTTTTAAATTGCATCAACAGGCTGAAATGGTCCAAGTCCTAAGAAAGCCTGCCAAGGGGGATCCTCCATGGACTCATGACTTCAGGTTGGTCTCTCTCCAGCCAGCTCCGCTCTCTAGCACTCCTGATACCCGAACCTGGGGTACAAACCTAAGTTACAGCCACCCAAAGCCACCAAATGGGCAGGAGACGCACATCTCCTTCCTTTCTGCCTCTCCCAATTGGAAGAAAGCTCCTCCCGGTGACTCATCCAGTTGGCCAGGAGACCACAGCCTGGCCCGGACCCCCTCCTGCTGGCAGGACGCTGCCCGTGGCTCCCATTCTCCTACTTTTCCGATTCTACGGAGCACGGGCCACCTTTTTCTACTGAGACCCGCAGATCACAGTTGAGAGCAGGCTGCCCCGGGAATAAAGAAGTAAGAGTTAAGAAAATTGGCTTCTAAGAATGTTCTCTTAAAAGCTTTCTTTTTTAAAAGATATTTTTATCCTGCTGGGTAGAGATTGCAAACGAGGTCAATATTACAGCTGTGACCTCCTCCAGGCAGCCTTTGAGTTTCTCTGTGGCCAGAGAAAGCCCCACAAGCCTTCCTTTGCACCTTGAACATTGGCTCTTGCACCCAGCTGAGCAGGTGACAGGCTGGGGGTGGCACCACGTCACCCTGCTGCTCGATGGGATGACAACATGACACATGGGACCCTAATCCCACCTCTCCGCACACGGGCAGCACAGGGGAGTGAGTCCCTGGTGGGCTGACAGCCCGCGCTTTCGGTTCACACTCCTGCTCCCTCTTAACCCCAGGGGGTGGGGGGTGGCTAAGTCACCCCGCCCCACCCCCCAACCCCAGGAGAAAGGATTGTTTCTCTTTAAACTTCTGATCAAACCTCCATTCCTCTTCCCACAAACTCTGTCTCTGTAGCCAGGGGAACCGGTTTCGGAACAAGCATGTAATTACAGTTAGTCATGAAACTACCCAGACCTTTGGAAATGTCCTTGACCCGACTTGTCTGTTGCACATCTGTCAGCACGCTCTAAGCAGAAACAATAGAGAAAGTCTGTACTTTGACTTCGTTTGTTGAGATCGAAGTGAGTTCATTTCTCAGGACACTTGGTTTTCATTTTCAAAAACCAAACCAAACCCAGCACAAATGATGGCTGTACCACAGAGAACAGAGTAATTATAGATCAGATAGCCAAGTGGCAATTTGCCTTCTCTCTTCAGAGAGGGAGTCTGAAGTTCCCAACACACCTCCCCGAGGGCGAGAGCAATTACAAAGTTCTGGTGCCCATTGCCAGGGAGCCCTGAGCCGGCAACACTAATTCTGCAAAGACATACTGTATGCCTACTACGTGCCAGGCTCCTGGCGGCAAGGCAGGCGCCGTTCGGCCCATCTGAAGTTCATGGTACAAGGCCAGGCTCAGTACTTAGGCTTAAGGAGGGAGAGGCCCATGGTGCTCCTCCAAATCCCTGTCGCGCATCCTATTGTCACCGGAGCCTTCTGCTGACCTGAGCAGCGTGTTTAGATGGCTCACATTTCTAGCCCCAAGGAGCCTTCAGAGTCTGCAAGTCTTTCTTTTGTTCCTGTTGCGCGGTTTCTGTCGCAGGAGCCCGGATGTGAGTGGGTTCTGACTCACAGTCGCCCGCAGCGTAAGACGGTGGTTTGTATTTGGATCCAAAGGGACTCCTGGCTCACCTTTCAAACAAAACAGACTTCACCGTGTGAATGGGGAGGGCAGGGAAAATCCACCTGTTTTTGGACAAAAGAGGTAGAAATGAACATCGCTTTCCCACCCAAAGAATTCTTTGTGTGAGACAGTTCAATTTTTTGGAGAGGGATTAAATAGTCTATAATCCTTAGGGTCATCTGGGCCAGTTATCCTGAGAAAGGACAAGAGTCTCTGTCCAGAACTTTCCCTGCCTGGGAGAGGGGAGCTTCGAACTTCTCTGCACACGGCGAGTCGGATAGAGAGAATGAGCCGTTTGTGGTGTGGTTCACATCGCTCCAGAGGCTGGACAAATGGACAATGGATTATTTATCTTGACTCTCAGTGTCTAGCACGTGGAGAGCATCAGTAAATGACAGGGCGTTGGTGGCCACTGGGCCACCACACGTGTGCAGCCCATCCTGCCCTCTGGCTTCACGCCCCACCAGGGGGACCGGGGCCCAGACGCGAGCGACTCCCCCACTTCCACAGGCCCTCCCTGACTGTGCTTGTTCCTCCCAACCAGCTCCTCTCCTTGGGGTCACTGGCAAATTGTAAACAGCA